TGTGCCGCCTGCTTCCTATCAAGCCGCTGACCAGTACCGCCCTGGGGTTGGGGACCACTGCTGCTCAGGACCCTTAGATTCATCTTCCCAAAAGCATCACTTTGTGTACCCTTCAGAATCCGCTTCCACCTCCATCTACCTAGAGTAGAGTCCAATTTTTTTTGTTTTTCGGAGCCCTCTGTAGTCACACCCTGACCTGTCACACTACTCCAATCAAAGTGGATTCACCCCCTGTCCCCCCACAAAATTCTATTTCAGTTCATGTCTCATTGGTTTTTTTTCTTGATCAACTCTTAGCCTGTGTTTTAAATTTCTGACACGACGCAAAACTTTGCACGGTGTCAAAGTTTTGACACCTGCTGAAGCAGTTTAGAGCACTGGTTCTTGTCCTTCTGCCACCACAGTGGACTTGAAGATGACAGCACAGTCCTCTCAGCAGCAGAGGCCGACCGCGGCTGGGAGGGGCCTGTGTAGTTTGAAAACTGTCCCTCCACCTCCTTGATTCTTTTTTTTTTTAATTCTGAGCTCAGATCAAGTGCAGAAACCTTCATAGTTACAGAGGTCAGTAGTAAAAGCTTTCCATCATTGCTGAGAACTGATTAGCCTTTCATGCACTGATATCCGCCACCCTCGGTGTCATTCGTCCATTAAGTCAGCAAGCCCTCAGTCACCGGTCTCCTTTATAAACACACACCCAGACATAAGCCCTGGTCGTTTGAAATTGCTTTATACTTTTGTTTCTCAGAACTGCAGAGATCATGCATCAGGTAGACCAGAAGGTCTGATGCTCACATTTGGCTCTTTTCATCACTGACCCGCTTCAGTAAGAGCTGGTCTCAGAGTCATCGATTCTGTTAGTCCCACCTGAGGGTGGGGCCCGTTGGTCCCTCCACCACTGCCACCACCACCACCACTTTGGAGTCATGTGTGCATAGTTGAGAATTACTGAGATGGGAACATACCGTCTCGATACGTTATGTATTAATATAGTTATTTTACTTAGTATTCCAAGGTGGTAAAATCTTCCTGATACGGCTTTATGTTAACAGTGATAAGGTCCTTCATTTTAATCCCACGAAGTGATTTTTCCAGAAAAAATAGTTATTTTGCATTAATTGAATCCTACACTCTTATGGTTCCCATTGTGACCAATAGCTTTCATTTGTGGGGGCAGTCAAGAATTAAGGGTAGAATTCAAGGTCATGAAACGGCAAATAAATTGAATTACCCTCACACTCCCACTTCTTCCTTCCACAGTTATGGGAGTGCCTACTGTGTGCCAGGTAGGGATTGGAGACACAGTCCAAGTGCTTCCCGTCTCGGGGGCGGGGGTGGCAGTCTTCAGGCAGCATGGTGCGTGCGTGGTAGAGTAGTAAGTGCTGGGTGTGCGGGAGCACCCTGGCGGGACTGCTGACCCTGGCAGTGATGTAAACTGACCCCCATCACGTGATTGGGAATTTGCCGGGCAGAGAGAATGGGAAGGATATGCAGGCAAAGGGGCCTGAAGGTAAGAGTTTGGTTCAGTAGAACGTGAGCTACAAAATACGCGTTCCAAAATTGGGGATGATTGGCGGCACGAGTCAGATCATGTAGTGTCCCTTAAGCCATATGACAAAAACATTTATTGTGAGGCCACCAGGGAGCCATGTGGGGTACTTACCCCTCATGGATCCCAAAAGATCCAAGCAAAAAGTTCAGGGAGTGCAAAAGATTACATTTTTGTTTCCATTAACCTATAGTTTAACGTTTTCTTCAATTAAGAGTGTAGGCAACGAGCCACAGTAGTAGTAACAGTACCTGACTTTGTCATCGCTAGCAATCCCAGATATCTTCCGATTATGTTACAGCCGTCACAGGTATCCCAAAGCATCACTTCTTTGAAATGAGAGTACTTATTAAACTTTTTATAAACATTTCATGGTTATTTAATGCATTAATAAAGAATTACATATATTAGTGCATCCCAAATATAGATGGATAGAGCTCCAGCTAACACTGTGTTTAAAGTGGCTGGATTCAGTTCATAATTACCGTGCGGTTCCTCCAGGCTTTCCTGCATCTACGCTCTGACGCTTCTATGCAGATTTAAAGCATGTTTACTGGGTGCTGAGTAGTGGCCCGTTACTTTGCAGGATGCCCCTCGGTTTAGAGCTGGCTGATGCTGCTTCGTGATGCAGGCGTTTTTGTTAGGAGTGGCACAAAAGTCGCGCTGTGTTCTTGTCAGTGTGTTGTCTTCGAGGCACACGGGGTAGATGTCTCCTGATGGTATTTACTCCATTGTTTGGTCAGGTGTTATCTGCCAGGGTTCTCCATCGTCAAGGGAGTTAAGTAATCTACATTTTGTACACATTAATGGTAAGTATTTGGGGGTGCTTTGAGGCTTCGTGGGGATTCTCTCCACCATTTATTCATTCATTCACATCTGCTTGGACTTGTGAATTCCCGTTTTATTCGGGGGGCTTCACCCCGGCCGTCATGGTCACGTGGATGCTCGCTCTCCCCAGATACCTGGACACGTGGCAGGGGGCAAGGAGGAAGGGGGGCTGCAGTGTAGGTGACACAAATGACAGGTGGCTTGCCTACAACGTGGTCGCTGAGATGCGAGACAGGCAGACGGGGCAGGGAGTCCTAGGAAGCGGCCTCTGGGAAGACGAGAGCGGACGGGCTCCCCACTGACTGAAAGGCATTGAAGTGTCTGTACGTTGACCTCATCACAATGGCTTAGAAAAGTGCTCCTGTGAGTTATCATTTTTAAATGGAGAGGAAAATAAAAAATACAAGGTGAAGCTTTAAAAAAGATTGAAATGTGTGCTGTGAGATTCTGTATCAAGCTTGAGGTAAGTCATGAATTTGATTTTAAATTTAGCGAGGTCCCAGGCGAACAGGCCAGTCACACGCTTCACAGCGCGGTCCTGTGCCACGTAACCCCGCTTTGACAGGCGACGGGCTGCGTGTGCAGCGCGGGTACACCGCACAGCGCAGGCTGGTCGCAGGCTGCGCCATCCAGCTGTGCGGCAGGGCCTCTGCCATTTCGCACAGCGACCGAATCTAACGACACAGTTCTTGGAACGTGACCCTGTCGTTAAAAGCAACACACAGCTGGAGTTGGTTGTCGGCAGCATTTGTCCTGTTGCATGAAGGCTACAGTAGCATCGTTAGAGTGAGCACGTAGCGGGAAGTTTCATGTGGCAGTTTTTAATCATCTCAAAGTAGGACATTTGCAAAACCCAAAAACAGGACCAGGTGAGTGGCAGGATGGGGTGCTCACCATCACAGCATAGTCACACGAAAGCCTTGTGAGAGGGAGAGGGTGCCCGCTTCGTCTGCGGCTGAAAGCCTGGGAACAGGAAATTGAGCAGGTGTGACAGTGAGAAAGTTGTTGGTGACTGTGAGTACCAGTGGAGTATCGGGGACAGTGCGATCAGCATGTGTTGACACTGAAGTAAGGAAGCAAAAAAAGGAGCAGAGATGCTTCCTGCTGGAAGTGCTGCTTTCCAGGCGGCCACAGGCCACCGCGAGCAGGAGACAAGAGGCCAAGGACGGGGCTTGGTTTTGTTTTACAGCGTGAGGCAGGAGAGGACATTTGAATGCTGTTAGAATGACGTAATAAGGAGTCAGAGATTGTTCCAGATCCGTGGAGATGGTGGTAGGCTGGACTCTCGAGAAGTGAGTTCTGTGGCATGAACTGGTGCAGAGGTTGGCCTGTGCTGGTAAGCAGTTTACTTGCATTGTGACGGGTAAGCAAGAGGGGCGGTTAATCCAGAAGCTGGCTGTAGATGACTCCACTCTTCCCTTCTGTTTAACAAAAAAAGCCAAGAGAACCCGAGTAGTGACAGCTGCTGGGGAGGAAATTCAGTGTGTGTGTTGGCGGGGCGGGGGTGTCACTTAACAGTTCATGCAGCCTGAGAGCCTAGAAACAACTATGACGAGTGTGGGACCAGTTCAGTTGCCAAAACTTCTAATGGCATTTTTTTGGTGGATTTTCCAATGTTGCTAAAAAGTGTTACCTAACAAATTTTTCATTTATTAATTTAATGTGAGTACTACACCCATCCCTGGATTTACGCAGTATTTTTTTTAGATGAGGTTTTTTAATACATGATAAATATCCCCCACTTACGTGGACTTTTTATACGCGACTTTTATTTACACGGTCTCATTTTATGGGATTCTTTCTTTTTCGTTTCCATTACTGGCAACTACTCTTTCTAAAAAACAATAGCTTGACTTAGCAACAAACAAAGAACTAATACTTACCAACACATAATTATTAACGATATTCCCATTCCTGGGATGGCAAATAAGCGTGGTGACTGAGGTGTTCTGGGATTGGTTTTATAAATGTTTTGCTGTAGAAGCTGAAAATTATATGAAGGAAAAATATGTTCCTATTAAAACACTTTTACTTTTAGATAACGCACCTGGTCACCCACACAATTTAGAACATCCAAATATAGAAGTTGTATAGTCGCCACCAAATACAACTTCTGTGATCCAACCTTTAGATCAAGGTGTTATTTCCACCTCTAAGATTAATTCTGTTAAACAGAGTTTTAATGATTATTAATAAACTTGAAGATAATGAACCACTTACAGTTACAGAAGCCTGAAATAAATACACAATTTTAAGCTGTATCAAGAATATTGCTTTCGCTTGGGGTAATGGAAAGCCGTCAACTTTGAATGCTCGCTGGAAAGCAGTGTGGCCAGAAGTGGCCGCACAGGGAATGTGGTTTCAACACCTGCAGAGGGCGTCACTGGCATTATTAACTTATTAAATACATTTCAGGGAGAAGGCTCTGACAGTCTGAATGTAGATGATACTAACGAATTACTGGTTAACCACGAGTTAACTGATAATGAATTAATTCACTTAATATCTGAAGCCCATCCTGCCAACAAATACAGCAGTGACCTTAAACCAGTTTCATTCACTGCAGAAAATATTTACAAAGCTCGTCAACTGGCCACAAAACTAGAAACTGCAATTCTAGATATTGACCCAAACATCCAACGAGCCTTAAAATTTCAAAAATATTTTTTAAAATGTTGCTGAATATCAAAGAATTTATGAAAATTAGCAAAAGATGGGGTTGGGAAAAGATCCAAAAACATACATAATGAAGCCAAAATATTACTTCCACATATTTCAAGCAGTGAAAATAGTGACTTTGTGCCAATTAAAAAAAGGTTGGTTGCTTTAGATTGCATTACAGCACTGACAGTAAATGAATTTTTTTTTCTGAATTTTCATTAGCATTTTTTTGTGAAAGTATGTGAAATAAATATTTTCATGACTCATATCAGCCAATTTAGTATTTCTTTTCATACTGGTGGACTCTGTGGTTTTCTCCCACATTAAACAATGAAAAAAAGATGCATGGAACCGATAATCTGCGTAAATTGAGGGACGGGTGTGTATTGCATCATGACATTAATTTGTAAAATTATTCAAATTCTAAAACAGAGAACACCAGAGATAGATTGTTTTTCTTTGGAATTATTTAAATACACTTTTGACCTCTTTTTAAATTTGATGAGTACAACCCGACTAAAACAAGTGGTCACAACTTTTAACTAAAAGCGAGGGATGTGGACTGTCGCTTTTAAGCCGTGAACAGAAACATGTTAACTTGAGAAATGATTTGGCAAGTTTCATTAGATGCAGGACTCTGCTGCTCATCAGCGGATGTTTAAATAACTTGCGGAACGTAATTAAGGTGGCACTCTTAATCTGCTGCGGCAGCCCTAGACAGTCACACGGTAATGGCATTAGTTTTATTTCGAGGGTCTGACTATATTTGTGGTGATTATCT